CAATTAAACCGTGATCGCATTACTGCATTGCTGCCAGACGTCACATTTCCAAAGTGGCCTACATGAATCTGCCCTGACCTCAGGAGGTCATGTGAGCATATTAACAGTGACGAGTGTTGTAAAACGAATAATTTGGAGGCACCAGGTGGCAGGTTGAAGCAGAGGCGACAGTTATTATTCATCCTAAAAACATAAATTCACTCAGGCAAGAACCCCTTAAAAACGAATGAGTATGTATATTTTACACCCGCCGTAATCAACACAACTTTATATTACGTAGATAAGGCAATATCGTTTAGGCAGAGCAAGAATAATTGGAACCGATTTCAAGGATGAAGTAAGTGAAACATCACATATTTGCCGCCTTGATCCATACAACCAAGAGCCTATCCAACTTGCTGCTGCGTGAATATAAAAATAACGTGGCTGTTTTGGAGATCTTGTAAAGAAGCTGTTACTAGCATTAACCTTTTGCCGACAGATAAGGAACGGCTTCGATGTCCTCCAAAACCTCTAGGAGCAAACATGTGGGTTATCGAGATCGAAGAGAAAAATCGACCGCCACACCCCTACACTACTGACCAGAAACATCCTGCATCTATGCAAAGCTCTAAACTAGGTGCTACCACCTATCCAAAACCAATAGAACACATGCCGCACATGTGTGATGCACCAAAATTAATTGTTTTCGGGGTGAAAGGTTGAAAAAGGTGCTAACGTCCCCCCCTAGAATCGTATTAAGTCAATATGTAATCGTCGAGGATAGAGAGCACACGAAGCAGAGTTTGAAAATTCCTCAATGTAGCATTTTGCATGAGTACTGCAACCAAATTTCTGCAAACACAACAAAAAACGATCAGATTTTGCTCTCAATTGAGGCTGGAAAAGTAACCTACTCATCAACTTGGTGTTGCTGTAGCAATCACATACCTTATACTGTTCGAGAAATACTCTAATTATCGGCGCCGCACAGAACAGTGTTGAAATTGGCTAACTGGTCGGATAAAAACCACCTTTCTGGGTGGGATGAACTGGGCATTTGTGCATAAATTTAATAAGCTTCATAAATTTCATGAACTAACAAAAGAGAACGTCGATTATGTATCATTAAAAGGTTGTATCTTTCACCTCTCATCTCTGTTTCTCAGAACCCGGTGTCACATGTGTGGTACGGTGTTTCTTTACAGCATTGACTACGGTATAATGGCTGACGCGGGAGGTTGGCCTGCGGGATCGCCGAGGACGACGCTTGAAAGAGGAGGGAGGCTATGTAATCCGATAGTGGTTTATCCCTCGGTATTAATGAGGCGCCAATTATGTACTTTCAATCAGCCGACTTGTACCTCGCTGAGTGGGCTGGCCTTCTAGCCGTGCCAGTAGCTTAGACACCTCTGTGCTGAATATATATTCAACCACAATATGCGTATTTTTTTGTCTTCAGGGAAGTCTCGGGACGCTACAGGTACATTTAAACAGCACAAGCATTCTGCAGAACTTTGTCTTTTAAGCACAGTCTTTTGTGCTTCCCCTTTAAGTTGTCGTTGTGTGTGCCATTGTATGGTTTTCTTTTTCGCGTTAGTAAGCAAAACCTCGGCTTTAAATATGACTGGTGGAGTATCTTTTTAAGACTGCGTCATGGTGTATGGAACTGGTATCGGCTGGGTACAGAGTTGTGCGTTTCGAACGACGCAGTTCGTAGACAGAAAGACTTTTACTATGCCTACTTCATCATTACTCATGAATACCTGAAGTTTAAGCCCTCTCCTTTTAAAAAGTTAATTATGTTGGCCGTAAATAGTGCTTCATACCAGTACAGCCTATTGCAAAGTCATTACTGACTTAAGGCATTACCCTAATTTTCCATTCTCTACTTCAGAAAAGGTCTTGCTGTATATGCTAAATAGAAATACGTTTTGCTTGTAAGCGTTGACGACTAATGCGCCTTTTCAAAAAAATAACTAGTCGGGTTTTTGGCCAGCAACTAAATTATTGTTGATAGAAACCCTTAATTAGGTATCAGATTTTTAATAAAAAATTTTTTGCTGATGCATAGGCAAAACATTTATTAAAGTTTAGAGGTTTAACAATCTTTTTTGGTTGAAATTGTCAGGGATTGCACGTTTGGCTTTGGGCGGCTCGCCCGAGTTTGCGTATGCGCACCTAGATGTTTCATGGCGGTAGTTTTTGATGGTTTTGCGCGTACTTTCTGCTGGCGTTCACGGTAGGTGGAATTCTTGCTGACCCTTTTCTAGACCCTTGATTAATTTGGGTTCGTTTTACTTCCCCTAAATCAAGTTCTAACCTGCAAGTAGCATGTCGTTATTTTGATTCAGCATGTGTATACGGTGTTGTTGTCATATTTATCTCTTTTTAATTTGTGCTGCCTAACCCCTTTAACTTGTGAGCAATGGTTAGAAGTCTTTGCCCAATTTTTAGCCCTTTTTAGAAATATATGCGTCCGATCTTTTTCTAGTTCCATTAGCGTATGGTGGTATTGCTGCTGTTCATGTAGCCTTCAAACCGGGTTCAGATCTTGATTGAGTTGCGTAAAATTATCCTTGACGGTCATTTACAGCATAAATGGGATATTAGGGTAGTGGATGTACATATCTTAAGTGATATTTGAAGGGGATTTGTTTTCCATTTCTAAATATGAGCTATTAAACCCACCCACCTATGCCACTACCGTTGTAGCAGACTTTGTAATGGTGAAGGATGTTGTTGCAGACACTCCTAGTGAGTTTTCCTCACTTTACATCGATTTTCATCATTACATTGCTTCTTTTTCATCAAAATATGTTGCGCCATCATTTAAACGTTCATACCGCAGTGACATTTTTAGTTGCGCTGAGTTTCCACACTCTCAAATAGTTTAGTTTAGTTAAGCCATGGAATTTCTTAATCCTACAGTTCGTTTAGATTGTAAACGTTCATCGTTCTTTAATTTTTTGGTGGTGCATCATAATTTTCACACATTTATTAACGTGTATTCGAGAGGCAAAAAAGGGTGTAAGGTTAAGCGGATTCGTGGAGCGAAATATTCATTTCCTTGTTGATCGAAGTGAACGAAGTGTGTGAGGCAAGGCGACGCGTTTTAAGCTGAGGTACTACCATCTCTGGTATCAGTGAGTGGAACATTTGGGTTCGAAGCCCTTTGAATTCAGAGGTACCCTCTAGTATTAGTAAATAGGAAAGCTGAAAGATGGTAATCATAAATGGCTTAACTAAGACACCGGTTTGCAAGCACTCTGATAAGTGTTGCTGCAAGTGTGATGGGAGGCCGTGGAGGCGGCAACGTATGAGGTATAGCGAAGCAGGGCAGAGCGGAGCTACCTTTTTCTCCCACTGGTGCTTACATGTATCGTCACTTGGTCGCTTTCCTCTCCTACGTTATTTCGTTTATTTCTTTTGTTTTCTGCGGGTGTAATTTTGCTGACCTTTATTTCTGTTGCTTTTGGTCGCCTCAGCTCCACTGGTGCTTCATGACCAGGCATTGCGTCCTCTCTGTTAGTGTTATCCTTTGCTTCTGCAAGGCAGTTTCTCCTTATATCAATGCCGTATTAGTAAGGAGCAGACTGTATAGAGTGGAACCTTGACGACAAATGGTGAGCGGGATTTAGAACTAGAAAATTGCTTCATTTCATTTCGTATTTGGTCAATGGCGGAACCGATGGGAACTGGAGCTTTTGTTCGTTTACTGTAGCTCTTG